GTCACACTTTAAAATAAAAATCTCATTTGATTTAGAGCCCTAGTTCTAACATAAGTTCATGGCAAGTCATTAAAAGACAAACAAAAATATTTCAAGCACGTTCTTCTTTGAAGTAAGGGAAACGGATTTTAATTACAGAAAAGCTGTTAGCTTTATATGACTTTTCTCATACACAAACTCACACACATAAAGTCTGCGCTCTTTATATCTCTCCTCTTGCTTTATAGTAAATTATTAGTTTCCTCTGCAGGAACACACAAAGTGGGCCATTCAGGAAGTCTGTGATCTTCCCCTGGAAGGAAGCCACTGGCAGCCCCAGGACTCCACTATATCCAACGTCACGGTCCTGCCAGAGTTCCAGTGTTCTCCTGCACTACCTCCCACCTCCTACCTCCTAGTACCTCAGCAGGAAAGGACACATCTGTGAATCCTCTGGCCTTACTTCAATTCCTTCCAGCTGTAAAAACCACTGCATGGAAAGAAAAGAACATTTCCTAGACTAGGAATCCCCAGACACCTTCTCAAACCCAACAAGTGAACAGTTTTTCACTCTGGTGAATTATATCCCATTAAGGAGAATGCAGAGAGGAAACCAGCCCTGAGATGACTGTGGTCTGTAAATGTCTGGGCTTCACTGAACTTCACATTCATTTTTCTGACATCTCTGAAATGCAGTCCTGCCCTAACTTAAGAGTCCTGCTTTGCCGGTAGGTTACAACTATTTCATACAAGATGTGGGTCTGAGTTAGGATAAAAATCCATTGCTGGCATTTCATAGGCACAGGGAAAAGAAGGTCTTTTCTCCGCGCCCCCCACCCCCCGCCCCACGTTTGGCCCATCCATCTCCTGGCCTCTGTCTGTGCCCCAGGCCACCCAGGGTGGGCCCTGCTGTGTGGCCTAAGTAAACAGCCAGAAGGTGGGTTTGATATTGGCTTACTGAGGATCTTGTGGAGCCTCTGCGGTGGGGGTCTGCCTGTTCCTCTTGGGTTTCTCAAGTGGCATCTGGGACATGAAGGGAGAAACAACATGAGGCCGAAGGAGGAAGATGAAGATGAGAAATGAGAAAAGAGCAAGTGCAAATGAGAAAAGAGCAAGACACTTTCACCTCAGGACAGCCTACGTTGGAATCCAAATACAACACAAATGACTTTGCATTAATTTTTCCAGGTAGGTAGACAGTACACTAACTATATCTCTAGTCACTGGGAATTTCTCCCTAACACATCAATGAAGGACAATGCAAAAATAATAATAATAATAATTAAAGAAGATGTTCTAATTTAAAGACAAGTCAATTAGCAAAACTGAGACTTTAGCCATGTTATCAATGCCGTCTAAACTTTTATGTGATTGCTAATTACATTTTTTGTACCCAAACTCATCCAATTAGTTAATTAAAGCAAATTAAGTCTCTTACAAAGAATTTAATCATATATTACACTTTTTGTGCCAAACTAGCCAGCCTGGTCAAACTGATTTGTGAATAAAAAATTAGCAAAGCTTAAAACATTTCCCCAAAGAAGACAGAACAAGTATTGACTAATATGTAATCATTTCTTCTTAATTTACGGAATGGTAGTTTTTCAAAAACTTAGACAATGGACAGTTTATTATAAAAAGTGATGGATTGGGTAAAATAAGTAATTCTTATTAAGAATTTACTCAAAAGTGAATTCTAATTCAGAGAAATCAGGATTATTATTTTCTATTTACAAGGAGAATCATATTTATAATATCTCATATTTATAATAGAATTTACTCTGTGAAATTTGTCTTATGGTGGGTAACATTTCCTCAAAGAAATAACCTCTTTGCTCTCTTTCTTTTTTATGGTATTAACACAGAAGCTCTCGGAAGTTTGTGTGTGTTAGGCTACTGTATTCTTCATTCTTAAAAGAGAATACAGATATTTCTTTGGAGGAAGAGGGGAAAATTTTAAAAAATCAAATTCTAGTATTATGCAATTTATGGGTATGCTTGTACATGACCGATATCATGACACAATGATAGTCCTGCAAGAACTCAAAAAATATGTTTGGGTTCACTTTAGAAATTCCACCAATGGTACAAAATATACAGGCAAACCTTTAGACGTATGGTATGTCATGTGATTACTATAGTTTTACTTTTTCCAATATTATTGAAATGTACAGTGAACACATGGTATTCTTACAAGAAAAAAATAGTTTTGGGGACCACAGCAATGAAATCTTCACTTATGCTTCCTTTTTCAGTGTCACAAGAGAGAAGTGACTCACTTTGAAATTGTTCTGCATGTTTATGGGTAAGAATCAGTTCTCCCTGATAAGAGCAGAAGACACAGGCAATTGGAAGGGTAAATGGCTGAGCTGGGGGTGAAGGTCCCGATAGTAGGGAAGGGACACAGGACAAGAGCACACCCTGTGCTGGGACTCCCCGACTTCTGGGTGCCATTGTGGCACTGCCCAGTAACTTCAGTGCTCAGAGCAGCAGTCCTGCTTGGTAGTTACTGTCATACAGTTCCCTAGATAAAGGACACTCAGCTAGGTGCTGGGGCACACAGCTAGTCAGTGGCAGAGGTGGGGCCGAGTGCAGCCTACTTTCACCCTCCCCACTGCCCGTCCTCAGTCCATGGCTTCATGAAGTCTCCTAGAGGCCCTGAAACTTGCTTCCCCCAGAGCTCTCCTGAGAAGAGAATTATCTTTCCACGTTGCATCTAGTTTATTTTCTTCTCCTGCCACACGTGTGTTTGGAAAAGGGGGAAGAAAAACAACACTGGCCACTCACTTCAAAATGCATGAAGATACATCCTTCAGCAGGGTGCAAAACTACAAGACTGTTCTGCTCTCCCTCCTGAGCGCCTTATATCCCATGAAGGAGAATACAGAGAGGAAACTAGTCCTGAGATGACCCTGGTACTTTCCAGGAAAAAGTGGCCGGCCACAGAAAGACACTCTGCCATAACACGGTGACACAGACACGAGAAGCACAAGCCCACCTTCCCTCCACATTCCATCCTCTGAACCGCCACGCACAAAGATTCCAAGAGCACCCTCATGAACTGCCCAAACTTGGCCCATCAAGACACTTACACAGAGGAGTGACCTCCACTGTGCTGGTGTAGCTGCCATGGTACCTGTCAAGGGCAGGAGGGGAGCACCTGCCTGGCTACCTGGGGATTCCCATCCTCCTTGATCTTGTATATCAAAGTCATTTCTCACAACTTCTGTTGAGATACTCATTATATTTCTATTGTAGTTCAAGAATCATAACATTAAATAAATCACCAAAGGCAAAGAAATAGAAATTTGGGGGGAAAAGGGAGTAATCTCTGTAGGCCTGCTCTCCAAGTTTTGTTTTCAATACATTCCTTTAAAATAATATAAAAACTAAAACTGTAGGCTGCTGGGGCCCTGGGGGAAGCATACCCTTTCCATTCCATCTTAAGCAGAGAAAGGTCCAACCTAAATTTGCAACTAGAATAGGGGAGCTTCTGAAAAGCTTCTTGTGTACCATTTAATTAGCAGTGGAAGACGTGGTGGTGGCCAACAATTACAGAGCACTCGTGTGGACCACATGCATTTATGTTCATCATCTCACTGAATCTGAATGATAGCTCTCCAAGGTAGGTTCTTTTATTATCCCCAGTTCACAGATTAAGTAAACCGAGGTTGACTTAATTTTTCAATGCTGTCTAGGTGGGCTGCAAGTTAAGCCCTGGGATGCCACAGAGCTCTTCATTGTCATGTTCCACCCAAGAAACCAGGTCTGTGCAGTTGTTTAATTCACTGCAGAGTCTCATGTGGAGACCCCTTAATTCCACTAGGCAAGGGCCAATCGCAGGGGTGATGCAAGGAGGAGAAAGAAGGGAACCCAGAGAATTCAAATTACAACAGGAAAATGGCTGGAAAGAGCTAACCCTACCCTACGACTTGGAGCCAAATGGCTTGGCAGATGCCACCATGTTCAGGGATTTGTGATGACAGGGACAGTCTTTTTCCACCCCACTTAGAGCTGCCTTTATAGAACTTTATCTTTTATGTCCAAAGATCAAATAAAAAAAAATCACATTTAATGAGAACTAGTACTAGGGGAAATAAACTGGTGGCAATTAAAGAGTAAAAATAACCTCTCTGTGGCTTCAGACCACAGGGGTTTTCTAATTTTAAAAAGCACAGGCAAATCACTAAAATAAGGCCTTTGGGGCTATGTTCATCTCATGTTTCCTCCCACACCCGTGGTGGTTGGAGTTAGAGGCAGCCATAGCACTTGAGCCCATGGAATTGTGTAGGAAATGGAAGTGCGATCAGGCCAGAGTCATGGACGAGGAAACGCAAACTTGAAGCGAGGAAGTCAAATCCAAGTCTCCTTTGTCACCAGATGCTTTGTGTGGAAGGGGATTGAACAGAGTTAGAAAAGGTCATGGAATCCCAGTTCTTAATGATACCCTTCCTTCCTCTGTCCTCAATCCTCATTTCTACTGTCCACTGACTTTGGACCTAAAGTCTCGCAATTGGCCAAGACGCAAGGAGTCCTTACTTCACTCCTTAGTTTCCATGTGCAGATTGGATTTTGGCCCGACCATGAGGCCGACCTGAAGTCCTCCTCAGGTTAGAATAAGTGAACTCACTCAAACACCCAAATGCACTCAGAGTGACTTAAGATTCCATTATAGGAAAGCACCTCTCTGCCCTGTACTTCTGTGTCCATCTCAGAGTCAAGCTAACTCCTGGAAAAATCCTGGAGTGTCACCAGCTTTCCAGTAAGCCTGCAGACACATAGAAAAACATATAATTGCCTTGAGGACATCACTTTGAAATACTTCCTGGAGTTTCCCAATTTGGGACCCAAAGTGAGCTGACTCAAGATGAGATCAGCTGCCGGAGAGAAAGAAATGAGGAAGTTTACCCTCTGCTTGGGACCTTTGTTCTGCACACCAAGAGGTTTGATATACTCTGTTTCAAGGTCCAGTCTATCCTTGTTCTGTGACCTAAACCCATCCTCCAGAACACTTTACTTACCAGTAGAAAGTGGCATAGTCCACAGTAGAGTGACAGGTCTGAAACTCCCAGGATTTGAGCTTCTGGCATTCTCGATGGGCTCGGAGCTTTACCTTGACTGTCCCTTGACACAGTTCAGGCACTGGCTTTCTCTGGGGTCTGTTGCAGAACTCATTGGACTCTACCCTCCAAGACTCAGCAAAGTCATCCACGTCAAACTTGAAGTTTCCATCTCCACCAATTAAGTCATCACGTTTATGTCCATTGTAATTGCCACAAAGACCACAGAGCTTGCCCTTGAGGTGGGGGGCAGCCATGACTTCTACAAAACTGTCTCCATCCCAGGATATTTCCAAACCTAGAGGAAAAGGACAGGAAAAGACAGATCAGCAGCTCCTGAATCCACCAATAATTCCCAAAGGTACACACCCTTACATAGTACACATGGCATTCCTCCAGAGTTTCGGTTACCTTTTAATCTCACCTTATGGAGTATTGTGTGAAATTATATGAATCACTTACCTAATGGGGCTTAGAATTTTTACACTGTATAAAGTTTGTTCTCACAACATCTTAATGTATTCTTGGTACATAAGCCTATAGATGACTATTTCTTGATCATGTTACTCTAGGGTTTATATTCTTGCCCTTTCTTAAAGGAATTGTGTTGGTCCAAATCATGCCTCATTTATCCAATGACTAGTGGTAATGTGGAAATGGAAAGAAAAAGATGATAGGTGTTTAATGTGCTTTTTCATATCCAGAAATTCCCTCATATAATTATTCCTCCAAATGCCAAAGGGAAATTTCCAAATTATTTGCTGTAATGAGAATATTAAAGCCATCAATACGTAGCATCTGAATATATCCTCTTCAAAGAACAACACTTGCTCCTCCATTATTTTACAGCCATCCTGAGGCACGGGCACTGTTTGATCAATGAGTTGCTGTGGAATCCTTCCAAACACCATCTGAGGGGCTGTCATTCCTGCCATGCTCATAAGCTTCATCATTCAAGGAGGTAATGGCGGCCACCAGGCCATGGGCAAAAGTTCTTCTTATGCATACATCTGCAAGGAAACCATCTTCACTCCAGAAGATAGAGAACATTGGCCCTTCTTGGTTTGCTAAACTGACCATCTAAAATTTTAGAGGGTTTGTCTCCAGATGTGCAGGTCTAAGACCTCCAGGAGCCACTGTAGTCAAGAGCCCTTCTGAATGATGAACTTTCTGTGTGACAGATAGAACAGCCAAATTATGCTGTCACACAGCACAGACACATCTGACTACAAGGTCAGGAAGAAATGCTCTCACATCCACGCTGATGCTGTGTGTGAAGACACTGCCCACAAGAAGGAGGGACATTTATTGAAAGCCTTTTGAGGTTCAACTCAAAGCAAATGACAAATTTTCCAGCCAGAGTTTTGCTTTATGTCTCAAGTGTGTATTGAAAGCCTTGCTCACTGTTTTCCTGGCCACACCCTGCTAGTTTCTGAGCTCCCCTGTCCTGTGAGTGGGAGTTCTATACACCAGTGAATGTGAATGAAAGAGTGACCTTCCAGCCAGAACCCCAGGTACATCTACAACAGGCAGTGTGATGTCTGCCCTGAGACTTCTCCTTATTCATTGCCACTGTCTCCAAAGAGTGAAAATCAGAGGAAGATTCTCTTTTTTTCTTTTCCCCCCTTTTTAAATTCTTTTTGGTTTTTATTAAATCATAATTGTGTACACTGATGCATCTCTGGGGTTCAGTGTACTGATTTGATATACAATGTGAACTGCTTACATTGAACTGATTAACACATCCATCACAATTATACTCTTTTCTTGATAGTTTTAAAATGTACCATATTAGGTGAGGAACCCCAAATACCCTCCCTCCTCCTGCCTCCTTCCTCCCCTCCCCTTTCTCTCCTCTTCCCTTCTACTTTCTGGATTATAGTTATGTTTTATCATTTGTATGAATGTGTAGGTGATTATATATTGATTCATACGAGTCTCTTCTCCCAGAGAGTAGAATGACAATTACAAAGGCTGGGAAGGGTAGCAGGGAGTAGAGAATAAAGTGAGAGTCAATGGGTACAAAAATATAGCTAGATAGTTAGACATAATGGATAATATTTGATAGCACAACAAAGTGACTATAATCAACAATAAGTTAGGGTCTACTTTAAAATAACTAAAAGAGTAGAACTGGGAAGTTCCTAACACAAAGAAATGATAAATGCCTGAGGTGATGGCTACCCCAATTACCCTGATTTGATTAATACACATTGTATGCTTATACCAAGCATCAAAACATCACATGAGCCCTATTAAGATACACAACTATTATGTACCCATAACAATGAAAAAGAAAAATTATATTGAAAAGAAGGGTCTCTGTCCCCCTTATGTCTACGTTTAAAATCTTATCCTCTTGGGTTCCTGACAAAACCTACTCTTTCATTTTGCCTGTTTTGAATCTTTGAAAAGAACAAAACAACTTTCCCTCTAAAAGGCTTTCTCTTTGTTCCTGAGACTTCCAAATTAGGTTGATAAGCCAATGTTCAGAAGTTGAGAGATGAGGTAGTGATGGCACAGGGAGTGGGGAGGGGAAGATCTTACCTGGACATGGCATTGGCATAAGGCAACACCAGTGTGATGTAAGAAAGATGAGGAGGAAGTGCCTAAATGTAAGATCCCAAAGCTGATATCCTTTAAATGTGAATATGGTCCCAGAGGAGAGCAGGCCGGTAAAAGCACTCCTGAGAGTAGGCCACACAAGTGCCCCAGAAGGAGTTTCTTCAACAGAGTTACTGGCAGAATAAAACCAGTGGTCAATAAACCGGGTTTCTCAAGAAATATATGGAAAGGCCCATAAGGCAATCACTGTATGGCAAATGAAAGAAATAGAAGCATTCTTGGTCCAAGGCAAATGATAAAGAAGATTATTTGGTTGGGTGAAGGGAGGGGGGAGAGAGGGAAGGAGGAGGGGTCTCTTTAGGGAATAACTTGGTAAAGAGAAGACAGTGATGGGACCGGGTAATGAGAGAGGGGATTTGGCGCTAACGTACCCACACACCGGGCTGACCTCACACGTGGATCTCTGCGAGAATATGATATCAACTCCGACAACCACAACTGTCATATAAAATGATTCCATTTTTTCATATTCTATCATCTAACACATTATCTAGTATATAGTATGACTCTATAAATAAATAAAGGAATTACCCCAGTAACGTCAAATCTGTGAAGCCAAAGAAATTATAAACTTTATGCTAGGTAAGACACCAAAATAACCATTTTGAAAGAAGACAAGCAAACTATAAGAGGATTTATAATGTACTCTCCAAGGTATTGAAGAAACTTGACCTCACAAGCCTGTAGCTGGGCAGCTGCCCAGCAAGAGAAACGACTGGAGAAAATCAATTCCATACAAAGTCTAACTTTTAGAGCATAATTCTAAGGATTTTCCATGTTGCAAAATTTTCCAAACTACAAATCTCTTTCCTAGACAGCAGGCAAATACTGTTCTTCCAAGTGCCACAAATGGTTGAGGATTTACACCCAAAGGACTTCCAATGTCATTACTATTGAAGATGATATACTAAATTTGAGGCTTCGGGCAATTGAGTTCATGGGAATTCAACTCACAGCGAACACACCAACCAACTGTGCTCTTGCTCCGCAGGGCTCTTTCACGTGGTAGCCCCTGCTTCAGAAGATGCAGATTCACTCTGTTTTCAGCAAACTCTTCTCAAAACTCACAACATCTCATTCATAAAACACAGCCCCCAAAGTTAGAGAAGAATTTGCAATTCACTCTCCTTTTTTCTTCCTTCTCCATGTTCTTAGTACAGTAAGAGGATTTTTACAGACTAATGCAAGGCGTCATGTAAATTGTGACAGAATGACTTAGGCTACTAGGGATGCCTTTGTCTTTTGCTATATCATTTACATATGGGTCTGAGTGAACATTTTCACCCTATACATAAGTAAAATTCATACAAAGTAGATTATAGTAGTGGAAGGGAAAAAACTAATAAGTTGTAATTGATGGAATTGCTCTTCCAAATGGTATTTTAAATAGGCATCTTCTGAGATGGAAACATCATGGCAGGGTTTGAGAGGCTCGAGATCGTCCTTTCTGCAGCTGGGATGAGTTTTCCAATTCTCTGCATGGGAAATTGGGTAGAAATAACTGGCAGAGTCAGAAGGCTAAAGCTGAAGCATATGTCCCATCTGGGGATGTGAGCAGCAGCCGCATTCCTTCCACTGTATGAAGGGATTTCCAATTTTCCCTTCTCACCAGTGAATGTTTTACTAACTTATTCTTCACCTTCAAATGTGTGACCTGGCTCCAGACCACTGGGGGGGGGGGGTTGTTGTTGATAATGTAGTTCTTTTATTTTGTAGGTGGTGTTGTTATCTTTCTGGTTGTTATTGTTACTGTTGTTGTGGTCCACTCAAAGGTGCAAAATCTACAGATATACACTAGAGTGATGTTTCAGAAAGGATGGATGCATGTTTAGATTTTATACGCAGAGGGAGGTGCGGCTAGGATATAGTCTCTGGGTTTATCAAGCATAAAGTCTACTCAAAATAAAATAAAAAGTCATGCTCCCATGTGTTAATGCTTTCCCATGCATCTGATGTAACTCTTTCAGGTGAAGCTGATGAAGTGAACAGATGGCAGAAAGGAAATATTTTTCAATTATTTGCGAAGTGTTAAGAGTTGGGGCAAGGGTGTGTGGTGAAGGTGAGCAATGCTTTCTTAAGCTACTAAGCCTTGTTGGAAGCCACTTGTTATAAGGTAGGCAGCTACAGCCTAGTTCTACCCAAACTACACCACCACCTGTGCTACCTTGCCAAATGATTCCGTCATGAAGTGCTGAGTCCACAAACCACAGGGGCAAAGAGCCATTACTCCCTGTTTCCCATCTCCCAGCTGCAAGTTTGATTTAAACTTCTATTTTGAAGAAAGCAGCCTTTGGTCATGTGAGCTTACTTCTTTTTTTTTTTTTTTTTAATTTTATGGAAGAAGACCACAAAGGAAATACTGTGATATTTTAAATAGACAATCAATAGGTAGTAAAAAGAAAAATCTCTCTAAGGGGTAGTTTAAACTGAGATGCCTAGACAAGGGTGGAAAACACTATTGTCTGGAAATAGAATTGATTCATTCAAAGGATAAGCACAAAGCAAGTTGAGTGCCCAGAGGAATACAGCTCTTCCCTAGGAAGCAGAAGGCTGGTGTGATTCGTGTGCTACAGGAAATTGTTCAGCTGGGTATTAAGAGTAGTGTGAAAATTATTTGCATCACAGAAAGAGAGATGGAAAAATAAAAGAAATTGTAAAACTGAGTATAAGACCTCGAGCAGTTGGATTCACTAATCTAACGATAGTATTTACGATCTATTATGATCTTCTTAGTAGCCTTGTCCTCTTGCTCATTTTTATAATGTGGAAACCTTACAAAACGTAAACTTATTCCATAAGTTTTGTCAGCTGTGAATGGAACAGGCTGGAACTTCCTAGGCTGTTAGTAATCTTCAAGTACCCAGGATTCTTTTGGGAACTGTGCTGTGGTCGGCCCAATAATTTCCATATCAGTAGAAGCCGTCGTGTTTAGCTGGCATGCGGATAGCTAGGCAAGGGGCTTCTAATAAGTGCTGTAATAATGGGCCATCTTGTATATATTTTCCAAGGAGTCAAAAAATGACTTCTCCTTTAAAGAAATGAAGTGGGGTCTACATTTGTGAAGTGGTATGTTATTCAGAAACAAGAACAAGTGTCTGAATTTTTTGAGTGGGACTAACCCCTGTACAGTTGAACGAGTAGAGCTCTTCACATCTCTGACATGAAGAGTGGGAATCTTTCCTCCTTTATAGAATGTTCCAGTACATTGACACTTAACATTCTGTTGCTGAAACTGTGTTATACATACCGTCTAGCTAAAAGCTCCCTGGGTTTTTCCTTGGCTTTCTGCCTTTGTTTAGCTAAGATGAAATTCCGCAGGTTCAGATCAATTTATCTAGATAGATTTTGGCTTGAATTGAAACAATGACCAGGCTTCTGAAGGTACAGCAGAAATGGTCTGTATGTCGCTGAAAATTGCCTACTCTATCAAATGTTTCATTATCCTAAGAAACAGGAAATCAAGTGATGCTTTTATGCTGCTAAATTCTTATCTCTGCAGAAAGAAATACACTGGTTTTCTTAGAGTATCTCACTTTAAAAAATACAGTATCCCAGGAGAACATGCAGGGGCATGTTGAACTGACAAACCCTACGTTTTAACTGAAGGCAGCATGGAAAGGACTGTACATGATAGAATAAAATGCAACAGGGACCTGAACTCAGGTCTTTGGGCTGAGAGCTGCTTCTAAAATGCTTTTCTTAGGTGGCAACTAACAGAGGCTAACAGCAGCCATGAATAGTTTGGCCTCAGGGGAAATGTACCTGTGCCCACAGAGTGAAAATGTAGAGTTCAGTGAGCCTAAAGCCACATGGGGTGCTGAGAGAGGGTCTGTGGCCAGCTGCATGTGCCCAAGGCCAGGCAGAGGGAAATGCTTTCAAAGCAAGCATCCTGAGTGTCGGCTCGCAGAGTGTGGCTAGCCACCACCAGGTGAGCATCCTTCCCCAGTGCCAAGAGTGGACGAGACTGCTGTGGTTCCTGTCATCTCCACCCGCATCTGCACGTCTACAGGTGGTGCCCTCCTGTTCCGTGGCATAGGACAAATGAGCGGGATAAGGCTGCCCCTGCTGCAGACCAGGAGTCTGCAAGAAAGGGTTTGCTGTGGACACTTAGCGTTTCCTTCGAACATCGCTGACACTAAGCTGTTTTTGAGGACTCCTCCTGCCTGCCTTCCTGGACAGATGTTAACACAGAAACGCTCTTTCTCACAGATGTGAAACTGCCCATCACTGGCTGAGCTGGAAGAGACAATTCCAGGCTGGACACCGGTGGCCCACAGTCACATCAGAACTTGAGAGCGAGCGTGCTTAGAAAGTGCACCCGCTATTTTTATCAATAGAATGAGGATAGAAAGGTTCTGAATATCAGAAGATACTCAGGTGCAAGGCTGAATGATGTCCAGGTGCCAGGCTCCACGCAGTGCAGATGTCCCTAGCTATTTTGTGGCAACTCCGGGATGCGCCTTCTCCTGTGAGCAGGGAAGCCAGTTGGAACAGGGATCTGCTCCGGATGGTTTTCCCACATGGAGGAGAGGCGGGAGGGGGACCCATAGCTCCCGAGCACTCTGACCAAGGGGCCTCCTGAGTGTGCTGGTGAGGAGGAGAGCTGAGCCAGAGCGAGGCCCCAGAGCCCAGCGCCCCGGGAGCCCCACCTGCTTTGGTCGTCACTTTCAGGAGGTAGCCGTCCAGGTCGATGTGGAAGTGCGGCGCGTGGCAGGGCAGCGCGATGCGCGAGCCGTTCCAGCGCACGGCCAGGTGCTGCTGCAGGCTGACCCTGCTGTCGCCCAGGACCAGCTCCACCGACTTGGTCCAGGAGAAGGAGCGGGTCCGGCGGGCATCGTTCTTCACCAGCACCTGAAAGGGTGAGGCAAGGGAGGAGCAGTCTTTTGTCAAAACGTATTGACACGTCCCCTGAAAGTTAAATGTCCGTCCGTCAAAAGTGTTGTAGTGGGGATCTCCGAATACCGTGCAAACGCCAGGCTCTGCGGATGAGTGAGAGACAAAAGCAGGTCACAAGTCAAGCCAGCAAGGATTCACAGAGAAATCAGGGGTCCCTGCAATACCTGGCCGGGCACCTTAGAAAGATTGACTAAGGGAAACTGACTCAAAAAAAAAAAATAAACTTGGTCATTTTTAAAGGTATGTGCCAAACCTCATCTAATATTCATATAACACCTCTGGTGCTTTTATACTTAAAAATTATTTATAATACCTCTGCATTTTAAAGCACCTCTATATTATAGCCTTTCTTAATGGAAAGGATGAAGAAATTGAGTTAAGATAACTAGGAACCCACATAAACAAGAACAAAGTAAGTATATAAATAAATAAATGGCAGCAACATAAGTCACAATACACAGAACCATTAGCAGTATTTCCACTTAACTCATTTAAAAAATTTAGAAACAGGTTATGCTAAATGTTACTCATGGTCTTAAAGATATGGCATTCAACATTCATGTATTTATTTAACATTAATAAATAGAATCACTAAATAGATACATGTTTAATAAACTACTGATAAGATTGACCGATAGCAATTACGTATTTTCTAGAAAAACAAATTTCCTATCTTTTCATCTATGTACCAAAATCTAAAATTGGGTTTAAAAAAAAAGTGACAAAACTCATCATTTAGTACACATAAGAAATTCCAATAGATTTATTACTCCAAAATACCATTACTTCAAATATTTATGAGACCAAGGTACAGTTTTACATTTTGGGAGTGTCTCAAAGATTTTAATAGAAGATTAATTATTGGTTCTTTTCTAAAACATAGCTTGGGCTTGGTTTATTCTCCATGGAAGAATATTTTATCTGTTTTCAAGGAGGCATGAACAACCAGGAAATGAATTCATTTAGAGAAATCAGCCCAAATGATGAAAGAGCTATAATAAAAAAAAAGAGAGAGAGAGAAAGAGAACAACTTCCAGTCAACACTAGAATAATAGCCAGGTCAAAAATAATAATAAGAAAGTCAAGAATATGAGAACGTCATATAATTAATTGCTCTGGATATCTAAGGGAAGGATTGAATCAAGACAGAGCAAGGATGTGCCAACTGATCTGACAGGACCAATAGGATCCAGTGCAAACATTTGCTTTTAATTTCTCAAAGCGTTTGGAGAGTAATGTTGTTTTATATTATGATACTTTATGCCATTTCCGTGTGTCAACTTCATATGACTTCATAAAAATCACATATATTTGGGATTTGATGCATTAATTTCTTATTCCAAATTAGTTTTCCTTGTCAATATTTGACAGAAACTCAAAAACGAAAAAGTTTCGGTATATAGGAGAATTTCAGTGAATAAGTACTTTAAAGACGATATAAAAGGTGCTACTCAGGCACTACCGAGCAGGCGGGAGGGACAAGTGCTTTTTGTTTGGGGTATTTTTTCTCAGATGAACATGAGGTTACATACAATGAGGTTACATCCTTTGCTTTTGTAAGGTCAAAGTCCAGGGGATTTTTGTTGTTTCTGTTGTCGCCCTGGTTAGAGTACAGGGGTAGCATCATAGCTCATTACAACCTCAAACTCTTATTTCTGTCCCTTGCTTATTCTTTTCTTGGCCAATTTTTCTTTGTGACCCCAACTGAAACAAGTGTACAATGGCTTCACATTGTCCTCTGCCCCCACTTTCTTCATTCTCTCTGTACCCATCTAGCATTCCCACCTATCTAACCTCTTCCTTGTCCCCCTTCCCGTCCTTTCTCCATCTGGTCACTGTTGAAGTCATCCCATCACACGTTTCCCTCACATTCTGACAAATGGATTCTCTCTTTGGTATGAAAAGGTTGCCTTTTGGGTGACAGAGAACAAGGTGTCCTTCAGACAACTCAAGTGGCATCAGGAGAATTATAGTCCACAGTTAACACTATCCTATGCCACAAAAGGATTAAATATTAGCCTGAGCACCAGATGCACCAAATTCAGAAGAAGGCCTGATTTAGGTTCTTATCTCCAGCTACTTGGCAGGAGAGCACAGAACCAATCAAGGCTTTTGAGCTTTCAGTTGTGTAAAAGATGGACCTCCGTTTGGAAAGGCCAAGGCACCACAGAAGAGTTGTCTTCCTGACAAAGTTCTCTCTTAGCGGAGAGCAGGCACAGGAAATGCCCACACCTGATGCCCACTCTGTACTGAAGAAATCTTCTTCCACAGCTGGGGACAACCCACAGCTTCTCCTGCTGTCCTGCCATCAACTGCATCGAATTATCATTAATCAAAACATTTAATAGCTAACATTTGCCGAGATCTGTTAAATGTTGATCTTGAATATATCATCAGAAAATTAATATTTAGACTGTTTCCTAATATTAGAAAAACACCTAGGCACTTTGTAATAGATCCAGAAAATGAGCTAGTATCTAGTCATTGACGTATCGTACAATATTCATAACTGAAGGAATGCTTATGGTACGTGAAAAATAGGAAACAAAATTCTATGTACAAGATAATCTTAACTCTATTAAAATAAATAAACACACACACACACCACACACATGCTCTCCAAAATTATAAACAATGGCTATTTCTTACTGGAAAACCGAGAGTGACATTTTCTTTCTTTCTTCTTATACTTTTCTGGTTCTGATTCATTGTTTTATTTCGTTTTGTTTTACTATTAAGAATCAGTAACAGTCCCCTGAAATGTGGGTACTTGCAGATAAGGCCGATTATGTGACAAAGCAAGTCCACAAGGAAGCAACGGCAAACTGCTCAGAGTAGCCATGGGGAAGCTTGTGCTTGCTCATAGCTGGGTGGGAAGCAGAGAGAAGGTCCAGGGAGACCCAGGGAAGGAAACTCATGTGTGAATAGCCCTGTCAGGAAAGTTATTTTTCAAGAGGCCTTAACTCATGGAAGGGGAGGGCTTGGAAATCGGGATGATTTTTCTGTGTGACAGCAATACAAAGGAGGCCAACAAAACTTCATGACTCCAGAGATGCCTGAGAATTATGTGTTGCTTTTGGGGACATTTGTATCATGAGCTAAAATAATTTTGAAACCTTGGCCCATTTTCCTGGCACTTTAAGGTCCCTGTGCCAGATCCTGCAGGAGCAGTGAACACGTGCACTAGAGAATTTCAGAAAGCAAGAATCTCAGAGTAACAAAAATCTGCCTGGCTGAAAAGGAAAAAGGCTAAAGAACACTTAGGGGACAAAATGAACACTGTAGCCTCATAATTTTTTTTCCAGCGGACACCGTGAAATGAGCTTCAGTCCAAAATGTCCAGATGTCCGGTCAGACTCTTCTGGAAAGTGTGGCGTGAATAGCAGAGGAGGGAGGGAAGAGCTACAGAAACAGACTGTCCCCAAACTGATCTTCATGAATGTGTGTAAGTCAGAGGATGGAGAGAAAAATGCCAGTTTACCACAGGTGGCACATTTTTTTAAGAGTCTTGTGGGTCAAAACTTTAGATCTCATTTTTGTTTGGGTTTGTTATCATAGACACACACAACTGCGCGGGTGAAGGGGGAAAAGAGATCGGAAGTGTATAAACCCAAGAATTAGCAGTGTGGTTCCCGCCACCCCAGGTAATGGAATTCTATATAACATCGCTTTTCCTCTGTCTTGTGTTTGTGTGTTTATTGTTTACACTTACATTTCATTGTTTACAACGACTACATATATCTATATACTTTCGGAATAAGAATATTTGCACTCAGAGTTAAAAATGCCGGATTAAGACATATCACTTTGATGTACCATACTTTAATAAGATTTCTATGAGAATTAGGAGAGTCAGGCTGCCTCTGAAATCAAAGTGCCAATGTTTTTCTCCTAACCACATCAGGTGCATTTATTTCTGCCATGGATATATTTATCCCAATGAAATAAATGCCTTTCTTCTGTGAGCACTGATTACTCTCAAAACATACGTCAAAGAAAATTAAGGGAAAGTTATACAATCTCAGGTTATAATGATGAAACTTAGAGAAACTGAGTAGAGTCTAGCTTTCCTTCTGCAAAACAAAATGAAATGAAACAAACACAGAAAAGCATAAGGAAGAAAATAAAGTACCATTTATGGCTCTGTCACTGTGTCTAATGCTGTGTGTGTGGATGTATGCTAACGTAGTTAAGATAATCCTGTACATGCAGTTTTATTTCCTATTTTTTACTCAACATGCCAAGCGATTTCCCCTAATCATTAAAATAGGTTTTGCTTTGAAAATACAGAATGGAACTTCTGTCTTCAGTGCCTGTCACTTGGGAAAGGAGAGAAGTCTCTCCAGCTCCTCAACTCCCCCAGTATATCCTGCCATTGCCTCAGTAGTGGCAGTAGTGTTCTAACCATGAGGAAATCTATCAAATAAAAACACAGCTTTAAGCCTTTCTCAACACAAACCACAGGGAAATGGGTCCCCTGGGACTCTGGGGTCACTGTGTCACACAGGGGCTCCTGAGAACCCCAGAAAGAAATTGTGATGACAAGTCTGGGTCAAGGATCGGGAAAGGCTGTTGTTGGCAACATCCCCGTGTTTCCAGCTCTTAGGCTGTGCCTGAACACTGACCAAAGCCTCCAATGAGAAAGGCTGTGGGTGACCCACAAGACCTGAGCCTCTCCATGCAGGGACCCCCAGCCATGCACATCGTGTCACTGGCAGCCCAAGGGACCTGAGGGCTGACAGATGCTCTACCAAGTGGCATCTTGATGCCTGTAAGACTCAACAGCCTTGGCCTCTTAAACTGAGAACTCCCCCTAACATTGTTGTGTGTATGGCGGGGGGTGGGCAGCAGGGCAGGGAGCAGTGGGTCTCCTTCCACCAACATATCATGAGGAATAGTAACCAATCTGCATTTGAAAAAGTTCTGTAGGTGCACACTCAGCGTGTGAAATCGCTTTCCCACATTTCCTATAACTCTGCATGCTCAGCAACTTGAAACAAAAGAACAAACAAAAGAATCGGTCCCCAACACCAAGGTCCAGTCTAAACTAAATCCAAACCTCAAGTCAGCAGTTCTAGGTCCC